ACCTATTCAACCGGACGATCAGGAGTGAGGAGCGATTGCAACCAGGAAGAACTGGAGACGACTTTGACCCAATTTGATGAGTTTGTCATCTTAACATCTGAAAGGCAAGTTGACAGTACATCTTTAAAATCTTCATTTTAGAAGTCCCATTCTGTGCAGCTCTTCAATTTTATCACTGTATTAGAAATGTTCTATATCCAGATATTCATTTCTCTCCCTCCTTCCATTCTTTCCTGAATGAAGACTGGGATTGCAGCTGGAAGATCGTCTCCACTTCCAACATGACGAGGATCAATGACTTGGCACAGAATTCCACTTGCTGTTCATTCTATTGGGCCCTTCAAGGTATGCCAAGGTATTCCTGTTTTATATTTCCCCTTCCCAATGGCCCCAGAGTGGGGACAAGTCACTTCCGTGACCGTTTGAGTGCTCTGAGTGCTCCTTTTAAAATGGTTTTTGAAGATGCTCAAGTGATATTTCTCTTTCTCAATTAGTGAGATTTTCCCTTTATCTAAATTTCCAGTGATGGTGTCCTTTGTATCTGAATGTGGCAATTTACTGTCTTCTGTGTTGAAGTTTAAACCTTGTCCTGCCCTGCGGATTTCAACTTCAGTCTGCTTCAAGTGTCTTTATGTCCGATTTCTTTGAAAGGGGGATAAAAACCGACAAAAGGGTCTAAAGTTTCCTTTAACTTCGTGGTCGACATTTCAGACGCCTTGTTTTCAGAATAGGGAAACGCAAAAGTTTTTATTTAGCTGCCTTCTGTGTTGTTTATTCCTGTTTCTCAGCCTGAAATAATAAATTGAATTATTTCCAACTCTGTCATCCACGCAGCTCGTTATTGAAGCCAGTGACACCAGTGGACGAACACGGAGTAGCTCCAACCCATCGAGTGGTCTTTTTGCCCTCAAGACAATCTTCAAGCTTCGGCGTTGGGCCAGTACAGAGAGGGCCCCCCAGGATAGCCAGTATTGGTTTTTTTAGAGGACCCAAAAATTAATTTAAAAATTCCGAACAGTTTCTTCAAAAAACCCTGCTGAACTGTCTAGATGCAGTCTTTGAGACAATAGAGTATCTAACCAACTTTGTATACAGTGTAAATTATTACCTCCTTTAAATAATTATATTCAATTTCCTTTGTTAGTTTTGAACTTTATAAAACTAGCGAATCGTTCATCATACTAGTTTTCCTTCTTGGAATAGTTTCAAGTCAACAAATTATTTGCCAAAATCCACATTACTGCAACATATCGGCAGGGGAGCTCGACCATTCATTAAACTGTAATAAACGCGGGGGGGGGTTTCAGAGTATCCCCCAGGGTTCACCTCTGGTTTTTACTCAATGACTGGATGAGAGAGGGGAACGTAATAGGTTTAAAGGGACCCTTGTGAAGCCATTAAAACTGCACTCTTGTATTTCGGATCAAACTTAGTCTCAATTTCGAACAGTTTTGAAGGACTGATGTTGGTAGGCCTATTGCTTTGCAAAAGACTGTATTCATTTTCGGCCATTTTGAACTGAAAGTGGGGTTAATGTTTCATTTTTGGAACCTAAGAGTAAAAATAACACCATTGGAAATAAACGTTAACGAATTAATATCAGTTGTAAATTTTGAATAATTTAATTTAATAATTTTTAATAATTTCTTATAAATTATATCGAAACGTTTTAAGCCATATTTAGAGAACTGAAAATGAGCTCTGGGCAAAAAATAGTCTGGCACCACGTCCATTTAGGCCAGATAACACTGGATATGATAGACTATGGGAACACTATCGAAAAGGGCTCCCGTGGGAACAAGGTCTGAGCTAAGAATACGAATGATGGCCAGTGATAAACTGGGAATAACAGTAATAAACGAGTATTGTTAAAACAAATTGTGAGGGCATGGGTTTATTCAAGGGCGGATCCGGAACCAAAACTGCAGGGGACTTTGTTGGGGGGGGGGTTTCATGTAACCTATCGCCTGTAGTTGTGCGGCTATATTTTGGGTTCTTTTCACGCTTTTTGAAGGAATTTTTAAAATGAAATAGACGCAAAAAAATGCCTATAATAAAAAAAATCCTTGGGGGAATTGCTTCATTGCCCTCCTCCCGATCCGCCCTTTGTTATTTGTCTGTTTGGATGTGTGATCGTTTGCTGCTGATCATGAGAATAAGAAAATGTAATCGAATCCAAACGAAATGAGACAGCTATTAGCCTAAGGACACACGTCATGTTCTAGCTATCCTACAGTTTTGAGACATTTAATTAGATGGTTATTATGACATGTTTTGGCCATGTTAGCTGCTGTTCGTTGAACTTGTAAACAATAAAGGTATAATGATTGCTGTCTCATTTCGTGTGATTCTAGCGACATTAAAAGGAAAACCGCCAAGTGAACCGAATTGGGAAAGATTTGTCAATTTAATCGGCAATTTGGGAAATATCCTTTTACCTGTGTCTGCAAACTTAAATCTGGCACCATCTCAATTCCAGGAAAAAATTCAAGTGCGGTTGTTCCTAAGAATTTTTGCATTCAGCATAATGAGGTGCAGGAAATCGGCTGAACTATCGTGAAGGCCATCATCTAATGGGTTCCTGTTATATGCTATATTTCTGACAATACGAGACGATTGCTTTTAGCCAATGCAGTAAGAGCCGTCTCACTCTTCTCCGGTATTTTGGTCATCATGGGGGAAATCTCTAGTCCGAAACGAGTTGTTTGAAGATTCTAAAGCTTCAAAACTACATGTTGGTCCACCCTTTACCTATGTTTATATTAATTACTGAAACGCACCTTAGTCTCAGAATTTGCATATCAAATTAAATGGCAGACCACGTGACTAAATTTTCAACTTGAAGATGCAGGGGTTGCTGATATTCACACTTTCGAACTAAAGTTGAAAGTTCAATGTCTGTAAGAATAGGACCATTTAGCACTGACACTAATCGTCGTCAGAATTGGTCTGTGCCGCCCCGTCCCCCCCTCCACACCCTGCCATCTATGGAAGTTGAGTCTTAGCAAAGGTTGATAAAGAACCAACAGGTACCAACGAGATCCGATGGGGAAGGCAAGAGGATACCACCGAATCGACCAGAGGTACAGTCTTTGCGAAGAATCGTTCCAAGATATATCTAGGCCTATGGGCCGAGAGCGGGACCAAGAGGGGGCGCCAGTTTCCCAGCAACGGGGGCTCCTGTAATTCAAGGAGCGTAAAAACAGCGTAAAATCAGCATTGCTCAGGGCCCAATAACATGCACGCCAACATCCCTGAGATTTCTGAAACAAAAATGAAATTCTTGTCCGGTCACTATTATTTCAATTTCTTCTCAATTTTTTGTGGGTTAACCAATTACATTTTTCAAAGTATTCCCATAAAACAAAATCACCCCCAAAACTGATTTTTCTGAAGTCTGATTGCAGCCATTNCCGTAGTTTTTAGCCATTCTGCTTTCATGAGAAAGCTCAAAGACGCAGGGATTGATCCTGGCAAGGATTTACACAATCTCACCATTTTGGGGGCCAAACGATCTCCTTTTTCCAAAGATGCTGTGGAAGTGGGCACCTTTAATGCTAATAAGCTGGCCAGAAATTCTCACTTGAATTAGTGGTCTGCACCCTTAGTGGGAACTGCACTTCGCTGGTTCACAACTATGAAATGCATGCCTTACGGTCGCGTCAGCTACTGGTAAAATGAAAACTCCCGACAATGGCAGTATATAGCAATATGGCTCTTTTCAATCGATGAGGGAGTGCTTTTGCTCAAGGCTTCAATACTCCATTGAAACTATTTGGCATCTGTTTCTGCTTAATTACACTGTAAACTGCTCTAAACATTTTAAGTTGTCCGTGCTTCTCCAGGCAACACAGAGCGCTGTTGTTATGACGTCATTCTCGGAGAACATCATTCAGTTTAGAAACTTTCTGTTAGACTTATAAACTCACAGTTTTCTTGTGACAGAGGGCGGCCCATTGGCTTAATAATACTTTCACAACTATGAAACGCCAAAAAGTTTACGACGTACATTTAAAAGATCCACAATTTTGGCAATTTAAATATAACGTCGTTAGCCTAGAATGACGTCACATAAAAATGAAAAATCACAGTGGTCCATCCAGCAAGGTCAGACTTGGTTTGTCCCGGGAATTTCTTGAGAGACATAAGAGCACCTAGAAACTTTAGAAACAGTTATATACAACTTTGAGGTGGACAGACTCGCCGAAAAACGGACAGTCCTTTCAGACAAAAATCTAGCTTTCCTCAGACTCAATCTAACTGCGCCGACAAAGATATTAAAGTATAGGCGTATCCTTTCGAATGACAACACAATATTTGAAAATTAGGGTTCCATGGGAGGTAATGTACATTTTCGAGCATTGCATTAAAAAATCTAGCCCCAGCAACAGTGGATGAAAAGCGTGTATGCTCGTTAAGTCTGTGCCTCTGTGGTGTGAGCGACAATTCTCAGATTTCTTGAACGGTATTAAAATCACCATTGTCCCGAGTCTCCCCAAATGTGCCCCTTTTCTTTGAATTCCCACCGTTTTCTTTGAATTCCCACCTTTTATTTTTAAGTCAAGTATACTTATCCTCCGTGACGTAAAGCCCAAAGCTTTGCACTTGGATGATTTGTGGAGGTATTGAAAAGGAATGGGAATTTCACTTTGGGAATAACGTGCAAACATAAATTTAGCACATCGAATCGCATACAACTTTTCAACTTCTCCACTATTCTGAGAATATCTCGCCAATATATACCCTTCCTGGAAGAAAACTGCTCGCAAGAGGTGTAGATCGTTATGTCCTCCCAGCATGCCAAGACTTACTCAGTGTTCATATCAAAAGTAATTCCCACAGTCCTTTGCTGAGCATGCAGGAGCTACCCACAATCAGCTGCAGCAACAAGCATGACCTAGTTTGCATAATTATCCTCATTGTTTTCTTGAACGGGGAGATTAGATAACTACAAAGGGCCATACTGAATACCTCAAGCGCTGGGTGGGTTGGGCTTCCAAGCAACCATTGTACCCTCTTCGCAGTAAACTGTGAAAAGGGTACCTGTCAATCAACGCGGTGAATCAACGTTGGCTCTGGACTTGGTACGCATGACTGGGTTCGTTTACCAGAGAAGGGACAAGGACAACATTCCCGCCTTGGGCTTGGAAGCAGCACTGGAGCAATGGGCCACATCCCAGGGGTGTGATTACAGCCTACAGACAGTACAGTTGGATCATGCGATCGTCAGCGAAAAAAAACTTGTGGAAAATTACCCCATTGCCAGGATCGACGGATTTAACTGTGAACTATGAGTACAGATTGACTGGATGGTTGGATTTGCAACAGCCGGCGATTGAAGTGGAGCTGTTGCCATGCAACTTACAACTGATTGGGGGTAAGAACGATGGAAGTGCCCGCTCGAGTTCTGGGGTTGGAAGTCGGTAACAACTCAAGCGCCATCATGTTTAACGTAGCCCTAGCTTCAACTGCTCATTATAGAGGCAAATGCGGTGATACTCTTGTCATTTAGATACATTCCCAATTAACGAATAGTTTATAGACGCTCACCATGTTCGCATGCATTTCGAAAAGAGAATTCATCCGGAAATTGAGCCAGTCGAGAGGGTGAATTTCATGAGAGGTGTTGAGTTGCCAGACAGTCTTCGTACGCGGAAAAGGCTTGCCACCAATCACACGCGTATTTTGAAACGTTGATATAATAAGCGTTATCACAAATACTGCATGGGTGATTTTGCGCAATACCTTTCTACCAATGTGTAAAATCACCCTTGCAGTATTTGCGTTAAAAGACTCACTATTCAAGATGCCAATGAATTTAAGGTTTGAATTCAGTCCACTTAATCCAAGCACCTTCAGCTAAATACGTACAATTCCTTCTGAATGCAGAATCAGGTTAAAAGGGCGAGGGAAGCGAAGTTGGCGTTGTAGGATGCGAGTTTTTAACGAGTCTTCTTTGCAGTGGTTTTCGCTCTTTGACATTTCCATCTCCAATCTTGTAATCCATTAAACTAAAAATTATGAAAAACACTTTGAAAAATTTCGTTGAAACTACATTTCTTACATCAGTGGGGAAAGTGTTTCAGCAACTGCAGCATCCAAAACCTGTACGATATACAATCACAAGTTAGACGACAAAATACAAAGGGAATTCTATTTATGCTTCTGCGTTTTTCTAAAGTAACACGTTTCTCATAGGGCTAACACATGTCTCTTTGTTTGCCATTATATGTCATTGCAGGATCTGCGTTTATCTAGTAGTAATTTTTTTGGCCTTTGCAACAGCTTCGGAACATCAGAAAGGTATGAATACATGTACATTCATTTTAAAATTCTGTCCTTGTTGTACTGGAGGGAACCGGGCCAAGAAGTGGAAACGTCCCAAAGCGCACGTGCACAAATTCTTGGAAACAGCAGTAATTATCTCACGGCATAGTGAACTTATGGATGCGCTGTTTGAGCATGACGATAGGACTAAGGTATAGTCATCGTGATAATCGGCAAACAAACACAAGGTGGTCTCACTAAGGTCCGTGGCAATGACTCATGATTGTGCCTGTGTTTACCCTTCAACACCTGTTTGGGGATTACAGCACTGCAATGGGGGGGGGGTATACGCACTGTGGTATCTACGGTGATTAAGGGGAAGGCTAACCGCAAATCATTATCAATCCAGGGCGTAACTCGATATAGCCTCAAACCCAAGAGCCATGAAATACGTCGAGCTGGTGTATCCATCATAGAGCTCCATGCTTCCAATAAGATCTCAAACTCCATCTCCGCAAAAAAAGAGCCCTCCAAGATTTGGATTTATTTTGGAACATGCCTTAAGCGGGTTTCTGTCACTGCAGCCACGCCTTTATTTTGTCTCTGTGGCGACTCGTATTTGGCCCCCGTTTTGCATTATTTGCTCAATTCATGAACTCAGGCATGAACAATTAGCAATAATTATTTATCAAAATAAAAAATAGGGCATGTTCTCTAAACCTTGTTATTAAAATTCGAAAATAAGGAAACCAATTTGCGAAAAAGCAGAACCAATAATTGTTCCAAAAATATTGATGTATCTTTCAGAGTAAACTTATAAAGCATTTTGTATATTTTGTGTTTGTCAGGCCAATTTAGAGAATCCGAGGTTAGTTTAGAATCCTTCGCCCATTCTCCAGCAGTCCTCACTTCGGACAGAGTATCCTCATCCGGGAGGCCGTCAGGGGCGGGCCGTTCCAAGCCCCGGCGTCCGAACGATACACTGGGTAAAGGGAGCGGAGCGACCAAACCTCGGCGCCAACCAGTCAGAGATATCAGCGAACCGAGTAAGCACTGATCCTTTTCCATTCGGAAAACCTGATGAAACTTGATTTCTACACCTATCGTTGAATTCGGTTAATATTAAGGAACTCTAACCCTTCATCTTGAAGCAATGCAGTCTGTTGAAGTCTTCGGGAAGACCAAGAAGTTAATGTTACCACAGATTTTGAGTCCACGGAAAATTGACAACGCTCATGGCGTTACTGTAGCTTAATTGAATGATGGGTTTTGGAGGTCTGTCCTTAACAAGAAAGCAACGAAAACATGAGAACACTGAAACAAGTGCCAGCATAGTGCGTATTCCTGATAAAATTAAATTTCGGTTAAAAATTCAGTTCTAAGCCACGTGTCAGCGTTCCATTGGTGGAATTTTTAGGCTGTTCTCATTATTGACTGGTTATTGTTGCACAGGACAATAGTTGAGGTCGCAATATCCAACGTTACAGCTATGGTCATGAGAAATCCAAACTAATCAATGTTGATGCTTCCTGTGTGTCTGGTAAAGACGAGGGATTACATTGTGAAGTGGTTGGATCAGAATGACAATGACTGCTAGGTGGACGTACCAGCGGGATGTAATCCTGATCAACTGACTCTTCTTGTTCGGGTGAAATAAACCAAACTAAGGCGATGAGGGATAACAATGAGGGGGAAGCTTGCCTTTCTGTGGGGCGGAAAAACAGGTGCATGGTGTATAGGCTAAATGGCATTTCCCCCCATAAACCAAGCACAATTTTGGGGCATTACGCGCGTAAATAAGTTGTTGCAAAAGTCTTTTCCTATCAGAGCGGGTCCTTTGTGAAAACGGGGAGGGGGGGTGTTTGTGGCTTTACATACTTCGGTAAGGGGCGTCAACAACAACGTGTAAGGTTCAACAAACCCAGAAAATAGATCGACAATACTTTTTTTTATGAAACCGCAAAACTAACTACCACCCAAGGCCTCCAGTGCCGATTGATGCAAATAAAAACCAATTTCTGACCAACTGGAGCGTTGATTTTATCAGGCAAAAATTGTCAGAGATAAGAAAGTTGAGAGAAGCAGCTACACGTACGTGAAAAAACTCACAAATCACCACAAGTTGTTAAACGTTATTCGCAAATATCGTACTTGCCCGCACGTTTGCGTTGTTGCATGAGATGTGCATCCCCACATTGAATTAAAAGTTCTGGAATGGCCTCCTTTGGAAAAAAAGCTGTCATCATTTTATACATTTCCCTCCAAACAGCCGCTTACAGACATGATTCTTCACACTGTAAGAACGGTGGCACGGGGTTCCTCCGATCGTTCTGTTTCTGCACAGAGGAGTACAAGGGGCGGTACTGTGAAGACCGAGTGAACAGCAGCTGTGACACGGTGAACCACGGTGACTGGGTGTATAGAAACTGCAGCGTCTGCCAATGTGTGGATGGGGTGTTAGAATGCCGCAGACACGAGTTAGAAGGATGCAGAAAGGAACCAGGTGAGATAATGTGAAGTAAGAGAGAGCTGAGAAGTTGCAGGGTAGTGAAGGAAAGACTCCGGCAGAAAGACAAGTTTAAAGTTTGGTAGACTAGTCTCTGATCTCTTCCTACTGTTGTTATAAAGCTAGCCAAGACTATAGTACGAGACTAGATTGTTACTGAAACATTTTTGAAATTATGCCACTATTAAATACCACAGAAACCTGTGAATTTAATCTGTAATATCTTTTCTTCGTACGTATTTTGTTTCTAAAAGATACAATAAAGCAAACTTAATCCCTTCTTTTATTTTCAATTCTTATTTAATGAGTGGATATATTATTGACTATCTCGGAATAAATGGACACTTTGCTAAAGTGTTCACGCCGTTTCGTTACGTGAGTCCAGGGGTAAATTGCGACTCAAAATGTGGATTTTTTTTCATAATTGCATCTATAAGCTTTTATTGTTATGGGGTCGTGAGCCTGCATTTTCTTGCTTTTACTCGCTTGTACAATGAAGGACAATGGAATTGACCCCCAAATCATTTTTCATTGTGTAAAAAGGCCTCCTTTTTGGAGGAGGTCTTAAGTAGGTCTTGGGTGTCTAGGGAGGTATCAGATCATTTGACCATTTAAAAATTTGCTTACAAGTGTGGTAACGTTTTCCCTTTTACACTAGATACATCCAAGTATCACAGCCACCAGGATGGAGTAGCTTTGGAGATGCAGCCCCACAGCAATGGATGCATTCTTCAAGGATCTCTGCTAACGCCCTTGATGGCTCTACTGGTATACTTTCATAGAATACTCTGGCTACAGAACACATCAGTCAGGTGACCGCAAACTGAGGAGTGTGAACCTAAAGTTTGTAAATATTTCATACAAGGAAGGCAGACAGGTGGAAATAGCAACAAGTGTCTCAGAGATCGATCAAAATTGATGCAGTAAGGTGGTATACTACACTATTTGTAACAAGGAACTAACAAAACAGTACATGCATGTACAGGTACTTATATTGTGAAGCTAGGAAATCAAGGGCCAAAGACTATTTAGTGGGAGTTATATGTTACCGATTCAACCTTATCCATCCACTTTAAAATGTGATTTAGTCCACTAATTTCCCAGATCAAGTTCAACAAGATGATGTGATTCAGAACATACATGTACAAGTTGTTAGGATAATTCTCCCACTGATGGGATATGAGAAAAAATACTGGTCAAATTTATGGTATCTGTTTTTTGAGGGGGTGCAAACTATACGGAAAATATTCCTTTGGTCCAAATCAAGAGGGCAATCTTTTTCTTTCAAGGATGAAGTTTTAGACCTAAACCAAATCCATCAAGATTCAGTGTGACTATCACTTCACCCTGGGGATCAGGTTTTTGTGTATATCCAACGGATTCTCTGCTTTTTTTTACAAATGGCACAAACATAAAAGGGTGTCCTGTCCAGCTAAGAATTTCCTCTTTTGATGAGCAGTTATCGACTTACACCCAAAATGTATATTTCTGTGCCCCTCGGACCATTTAAAATGAACCACGCACCACTAGTAACGTGAGTCTATGACAGACTATTGGACAAGTCACAAAGATAACCACTCCTTGTCTCCAATTATGCATTCATGCTGTAAATAGTTTTAATCTCAAGCTTTTTAACAACTGGAAGGTTAAGGCATACTTAATGTGAATTGTTTATTGCAGGTGTTTTATAAATAAATTGTAAATGTAAACATAAAGTAGGGTTTTAACTTATTCCCTGAAAGGTGCTCTGTTTTTAAAGACTTTTTACTGTCTTCCCCACTTTTAAAACTTACCAGTGTCTACTGTTCTATGGATAAAGTGGTCTACTGTAGTGAAAATAAAATGGAAGGAATCTACTCCCTACCATGAACAAACTTGACTTTCTTAACGTGAAGCTGAACCGGCAAAAACCTCAACACAGGCACAAGATTTTTGATAGGTAGTCAAACTAGTCATATGACCAAATGTTTGAACTGCAACATCCAAAACTGTTAGCCATTGGTTACAAAATGAATACAATGTATGACAAAAGGGTATTGTGGGTGTTTTCATGTGACAAAACTCTCTCTCCACGTGTACAAAACCTTTGTCAGCATTGTGCAAGAATTCTGTGTCTATTATCAAAATTAAAAAGAGTACTGCACAAAAGAAAATGTTCCAAAATAAAATGAATATATTTTACATTTCACTTTTTTTCAGCTCAAATTCTGTCCTATGAGTTTTCCACTTTCCTCACTCATTTTTCAGAAACTTTTTTTAATGAAGCCAAAAACTATTATTACTTGTCTGGAAATTCACAGAGAAACTTGTTAATCTTCAGCTAGTTGGATCTGCCACCAACGGGACAGTATCAGTCCTACATTGCAAAGCTTGCAAAAACAAAAGCTACCAGACTATCTGTCTGTTTATTCCTCTACGGATAATCAAGTTTTTCTACCTTTTGGTGAAAGAGAAGAGCCCCTCTTTTTCATAAATCGAAGTTTTTCAATCAATGTAATAGCCTTTGATCTTATCTCTGAAGTCCGATACCTTCACACTCTATTATGCTAGTCCCCGAG